CGTTTTTTTGTGGACTTTTATGGACCTTTCTGCCTTGGGCACCAGGGACCTCCATTATTTGAATGTCAGCAGACAGCAATAAGCCTGCCAGATCTCCAGATGCATTTGAGATATCAAAAAAGTACTCCAGAGTTTTGTTCAGCATGGGGGTGAGTAGAAAATGAAGGCTAATCATGTTTTGGGTGTACTATTCCTTTAATGACATTATTGTTGCTCTGGTTAAGAAACAATATTGTACACCTCTTTTTATAGGTTTGTGAGAAGCATTTGATACTGTGGAAAATGAAACGTCGACTTTCCAGAGCCATCTGTTGCTTGCTTCAAAACTATTTTAGCAGTCCTCAAGGGAGTGCCACAGAGATCAATATTAGGTCCTCTTCTATTTTATAATTTAGTTGAAGGAATTGAAAAACAATGTCTGATGCTAACATACATTTTTATGCAGATGACACGTTTATTTATTGCACTGAGGCAATTAAACTTTTTCAGAAAGCCTATGTTTCACTTTTTTCAAATCTAAAACCATTAAATCTAATGTTTTCATTACCGATAGATCTTTACTGATGTTTTTATAAAGTATATCATTAATGCAAAATCTACTGAAAAACAGAGAATCGTTCCTGCAGTAGTTTACCTCAATGAGCATCCACCATGACATTAAATCATATTTACAAATTTGATCTCTCATTTTTACCAAGGCTCAAATGTGGACAAACATAGTGGAACGTGTAGAAACTTCCCAAGATCCAGAAATTTTCTAACAGATTATGGAAACTAATGTCCCTTCTCCACCAGCCCAACTTGGTCTGGCTCTGCTCCACCCCACCAAATTTAAAATGTTTACATGAAAGCTTTTTCAGTACTTTCACTGGCTTTGTTAAAACCTGTTCCTCTTGGATCATACCTATTCCTGAGAGCTGGTTAAAAGTAGTCATATTGCATTTTGGTTCTCCTTTTTACATTAATATCAATATAAAGTCATGAGTACTAATAAAAAAGTTGTTTTCCAGGACTCCAACAGCCTTACTTAATTCTAATTTTAAAAACATCTCTTTTTAACCTCTGGGATCATCATTGTTGCCTCTGCACCCCAGAGTAATTGTTTTGTTTATCCACCAGCTGTCAAAAGGTGAAAGGTCATGGATGATAAACCGGTGGCCCATGCATACTGCTTGCCCTAAATTACGTGTCTGCTGTCCTCACAGGTGGAATGTGTGGTGGAAACCAGGGATAAGACACAAAGTGCTCAGCTGCGCAAGACGCTGAATGAGCGCTACCCTTCGATATGCTGGCTGGACCGGTGATCTAAACACTACAAGCACAAACCAAAAAATAAAAAAAAACATGAAATGTGGAAAAGCCTGGAATGGATTCCTAACATATCCTTAACATCAACCAACCTTATAAAAATCTTGCTCACAGTCGGGCTGTGAGATTATAGAGCAGTTCTTAACCTAAAATACATTTACTACAGTTGTTCTGTGGGGACTGGACTGGATCTAGCTCTCATCGGAGTTATACTCTTAAATAGCTGCAGGTTAGTATAAGTATAGGCCTACAAGTGCAACAAATAAAAAAGTATATATATATTTCTAAATGCTGTACATACTTGTATATTTATATAATCCCAGTGTAGAACTGTCCAAGAGGGAAACTCTCAAATTAAAGGCAAACAAATTGTGTCTGATTTTATTACATTTGTGTCCAGGTCTTAGAAAGATAGAACAAAATGCATTTTTGTTTAAATACTGAAGAGTAAAACTGACAGAGAATGTGAGGTTAGTTGCGTCAGCATCATCCAGCGCTGATTTAATGGCCTGAGACAGCTCTAGTGGTGACATGGCTGCTTAAGATGAGCTAAAGCTCTTAATGTCTTTAAACAGAGAACACTGTGAACCTGTGCTGCTATTGTTGCAGCAGATAAAGAAGGAAATAAAGTTCTGGTGAAAATCCAAATAAACCCAAGTGGATTGTTTGATTTTCTGTCATTTCATCACCACACAAAAAAATATATATCAACCAGCTGAAAGTCCAGTTATTATCATAGTTGAGGATGTGATGCGACTTTTAGAAAGCTGTGCACAAACTGTGTGGATGCTATCGTTTCTTTTTACTTTCTAGGCTAAATCTGAAGATATTTAGATCATAAAAATGATCTAAACATACGACTTATGTTCTTTCTTCATAAATCCAGATACATAAACTCCAGAATTTCCCAGAGGGTGTGTTTACGTTTGCAATACATCAACACATCAGTAGAAAACCCAATATACAACATGAAGGGAATAGAAATTAGCTTTGAAATGTCTCTTTATTAAAGTATTCTTAGCATTGAGTGAAGACACCTTGGTATGACTGAGGTATATATGAAAATAATCCCTCTTCCTGCTCAGACTTTTGCTGATGTTATGACTGAGAAACACAGCACCTACTTCCCCCTTGCAGGCTGAATGTAAACATTGGATCAAAGAAGAATTGATTCACAACTCCTGTTGTCTTACACATAAGATCTACATCAAGGATATAATTCAAACAGCTTCTGTCAGCAATAAAATGTATTAAAAGAAACTTTAAAATCTAATTCTAACAATTTTTCTCCAGCTTTCATCATAGAAGGTAAATGGAATGTAATTAAAACAGACCCATCACTGAATTAAAGGGTATAATAGTGTCAGCAACTACATTTTTAGCGTCTGTATTATGAGTTTAACACTTTTAAGCACATAAAAGTGTCATTAAACTTAAGAAAAGGCACCAGGAATGTCAAGATTCAGCTGTATTGCTCCGAAAGCACCGCTTGAGGGGTTAGTGCTTCTTGAGACGCTTCGGGTTGTACTTAAGGAGCAGGCCAAGGGAGGCCATGCCAAACAGAAAGGTCTGGAAGAACCACAGAAAGCAAGTGGTTGGGCTGCTGATCCCCTTGTTGCTGTGAAGACCAAGAAGGAAGAGTTAGAGTTTAGGCTTTATAGACATAATATAAACCAATCATCTTTCAGACTGGAGTAAATAATAATAGTAAACTTCAATGACTTAAAACTACAAATAATAAATTAAGGAAAGGGTTTGATTTTACAGGCTGTATGGATTTGATGTTTCTCTGTGTCTAATATTTAGGAAGTTGTTCCTTAGCAGGTGGCACATCAACAACCTTTTGTTCGGCCACAGGAAACCTTGAAGTGTTTGATCCTATTGCGATATTCGATATATTTTAAGCAGAATCATTAAGCAGAATATGATTGGTTGCCCTGCAACCTGCTGAAGCACATCTACCTAAATATAAATCAATATTCCAGCTTGTTTGTGTTAAATATAAACAGGAAAAAATCTCACATCCAACTCTCATAGAATATTTGTGCATCTTACTTATGTTCACAATAAATGGATGTAAACTATCACTGTTTAAATGTAGATGCTGTCAAATAAGCTCACCCAAGATTAGCTTAAACTGCAGCACCACCTAATGGACATTAAAGCTTCCTCCATTCTTACCTGCACACCTTTAAAGAATAGACGCTTTCGCCAACATGACTGGCAAAAGCTGCCCACCACCTGAAACAGACAAAAAGCTCTCCTTTACATTCGTTAAATTTGTTGATTTCTCTCTCTCTGAACCTTTCATTTAGCTTATTACACCTGAATCCTTTTTTTATTACTCACCCCAGTTAAAAAACAGAGATTTCTACCACCATGATGAGATCTAATCTTTTTCCTAAGAGTATATTTAAGGCATTTATTTATTTTTGTTTGGAAGAAAAGCTGCACCTGTTGGTACCCCATTGCTGGTCTTAAGAGTCCAATTTGAAATGGTTCTTGTTATGTCACTGAAACCATGTTCTTCCTGTAAAAATTTGATCCTCCTCCTGTTGTAGTTCCAGGATCATAGGGCAGGGAGAGCTTTATCTACAGAAATCACCGGATTTGATTTGTCATCTCTGCAAACAAATGTCTTGAGATCGGCTCCAGGTTGTTTTAGTTTTTTTAGATGTCCCCATTTTGCCCCGGCCTACTTCTACTGCTACTGATTCAACACAACTTTAATGCTTTCAACTGTAGAAACAGGAAACGGAGCTGTGAAAACATTTCTAGTAGATCTGAAAGCTAGAAGTCTAATATTTGAAGGTGTATCTTACATAAAGTAATTACAGAATATTAAACATTATTACTATTATCATGAATAATTGTAAATAAATCATACCCGTGTTAATTAGTTTTCAAGATGACTGGGGAAAATTGTTTTAATTTGCAGTTCTTAACTAAAAATCCATCTTAATAAGAGGCTCTTCAAGTTGTTTCACAAGATCATTTCCCACTTTATTGCTTATTTACCTTAAAAGAACCAATCAATCAATGGTTCACTTTCTTCCTGTGAAAGGTTTTGTTTTTCTAAATAAAATAAAATGCATTTGAAGTCTCCTCCCACGATGATTATTTTTCATCTTTTTCTCCATGGGTTTTTTAATGTTTATATGTATTCAGAGTCAGTGTCTAAGAAAGACATAATTATGACAGAAAGACTTGACTCTTGAACAGAATGATGTTCCTCTGAGGGAAGAGCTCATGCTGAAAATATTTCAAACTGCTGTCTGAGCTAAAGATCGAAAGCATGAGTGAAGAAAATCTGAAAATCAGTCCATTGAAAACTATTCTGAGGCCTTTTTCTGGCAACAATCCTCCTATTATCAATGTTTTACACATTTGTGGAACCTTGAATAAAACATTGTAGGAGTGGGTAAACATGTATTTTTTGAAGAACATAACTTTAAATTCCATTTCTCATAACATGTGTGTATTTATTTAAGCTCTGATCCATTTAAATGTTTATACCATGGGTGAAAAACATAAGCGATAAAAAAAACATCTTTAAAGACAGACTAAACAAGGGTTAGGATTTCAATTACATTATTTTTGCACCCATAAACCAAGCAATCAGTGGCATTGGACTTAAAGTCTTCAACATTAGTCTTTTTTCATAGTGATTATGTATTTTAATCCAATTGTTGAGTTAAATACTCAAAGACCCTGAAAGCTCATATAAATAATACTCATATATGTAAATGTTAATATAAAATGGTGAAGATCTGACCTGTGTGGACCAGTTGACTCTTACATGTTAGGTAGATATTATTTATTCGAGTCAAACAAGAAATAAAAATAATCATGGGTAGAATATATATATAAAAAAAAAGAAATTTAAAAATTGGATGATAAAGAGAGACTTGGACCAATAGCAGAATAGTCCTAAATGATCTAAGCAAACATCAGATTGTTTTAGTGTTTTGATGGTAGAATAATTTAAAAACATTTGATCTGAGAGAAAGATGCAAAGTATTTTCCAAAACAATAAAAGAGAAATCCCTAAAGTTATCCACCTGAAGCCGGTGGCCTACAGATCAGGTGACTTGAGTTTCTCCCATACTTCTGCAGGAGCTGCAGCAATCATGTGACTCTAAGGGCTAATTAACAAACCACTAAGGCGGCTGTTGATTACAGAGAGTATTCAGGCTCTATGCGGTACTTTGCACCTCGTTCAAAGCTGTTCTGGCACGGATTATAATTAAGATCTACTCATCTGACTATGTGCGAACAGCTGCGTTTTCTTCTGAATAGGGCTGATGAGCTTGTTTTATACGTCACTGATCTACTGTCAGCATGTAACAGCAGGTGGTGAGGAGTTTGAAACAAATCTGCATGCTTTCATTTACCAACTAACTTTGTAGTGTTAGTCGTCACTTAGCAGGGGTCCTCCTGGACGCCGCACAGCAGCGGTGGTGCAACAGCAGCTAATCACTTACCCTTTGTACATTAGGTCAGCATGGTTATCCACCAGGTATCTGCAGAAGCTGCCGAATGGGCCAAGGTGATCGAATGGGATTTTTTCTGGTGCAAACACAATGAACTAAAAAGAAAACGGCAGAAACACAGATGGCATCTCATAAATTCTTGGCCATTTTTTCATTCTCAAATTAATAAAACTGAATAAACCTATGTCATAAAGTTACATTAAAAAACTGATTAGTTCCTCCTTTTCTCAAAGCCTCTTCATTTTCCATCATTCTCCTCTAATATATTTTCCTGCATTATTCACAGCAGGCCTGCCCTCAGTATAGATCATAGCGTGACATTCAGCTTAACAGAGCTTGACACAAGATGGAAAAAAAAGTCCAAACATATAAAGTAGGAGTCATTTCCTCCTAAATAAATTTCTCGTCTGGGTCACATTTATGACTTTTGTACAGAAGGTTATCAGTAATCAAATACAGCTAAAGTAAATGAGCTATTGCGTCAGTTCCCCTCTGACCAACAAAGGGCAGCTTTTTGTAACAAACCAAACAAAATTGGTTTGGTTTTTAATTCATTGATTATGCACTACTTGCGTCACATGAAGTTGGATAAACAGGATATGCCTGGAGGATATGAATAAAAGGTTATCGTTCTTATTTTACAGCCAATGAGGATGTATTTCACCACCACTGCTCCAATGTTAATTAGATCCGCATCATTTTCAGAACTAGTTAGCTTGAAAAACATCTGATTCCCTGACATTTAAAACACAGCAAAAACCAAACTAAAAAAGCTCAAAGCTGACTCAGACTGAACACTGCTTTATTCTTCTGTGATCCTTGTCGGCGCACCTGTGGTCTGACCTGCTGTTAACTAACGCCTTGAATAGATAAGATAAAAGGATAAAACAGTTTTAAGACAGCTAACCAGAGTCTGAATGTGGAAAAAACACAATTAAAAAATGATTAAACAGCTAAACTGTAGATTATGTCTTTTGTTTATATAATTTCTTTACTTAGTCCATGTCCTCTCTAAAATCTCTAGAGCTTTAGGGAAAATCTGTTTGTTTTATTAGCTTATTCTATGAACAAAGACCTGAATGTTAGGTTATGTTTGCATCCAGGTAGCCAAAAAACAGTGAAAGTATATTTTACAGCATTTATGTGAATCACACTTCAGGTGGTTTATTTTTCAATCTATTCTGTGGTATTTATTTTTAATAATAATAATTTAAAAAAAGGAAAATCTAAAGAAATCAAACCTTGACTGAAATACTCAGTTTTAGGAAATATTATTCCTCAGCTATAACCAATGTCAGCAAGAACAAATTTTAGGGGGTTTTAGATTAGATTTTTAAACTTAAATAGTATTTAAAAATCACAAATAATGGTAATAACCTTTAGGGAATAACTATAAAAAAGAAATTCTAAAAAAAAAAAAAAACTGGCACTGGTAAAATCTAAATGAAAATACTACAACAATAGTTTTGGATCTTAGAAAAGTTATTTGATTCCAGATTCCAGTCAATGGAAAACTCACTTCAAAATTGAACTTTAACCCAAAGCCCGTTTAACCCACCTGAGGACTTTATTAACACTGATAAGATTTCCTATCAACACGATAGCTGCATCGACTGTTTTACCTAAATAGGATATGCTTAAATGGTGACATAAAAGAAAATTAAACGTAACCAGAAAGAAGCAGGTTTCTGAAAAACTAAAAAGAGACCCAGGGGACGATATTTGATGAAACCCCAGACAAGAAAAACACTTGATAGAAGTTTGATTCTTTTTTTGGAAAAAACTGTGAAAATGTTTCCTTGTTACGTTCATACAGATACACTGAAATCACTTACAGAAAAGTATCCAACTGCCACCGTAATTGTGACGACCCAAAACAGACTGGTCCGTTTAAAATAATCGCTTCCGTCGCTAGTAGCCATTGCTGTTGCTCTTTGGTGGTGCCACCGCCAAATACGACCGAAGAGAAACAACACACACACGTCTAATCAATAGGGGCGTTCCTTTCTTTCTGTAAATCATATTTTTTTTCTTATGTAATTATTTCGAAAGCCGTTTTTAGTAAACAGTGTCCAACTTTGTGTATAAAAAAAAGTAGACATAGGAGAAAAAAAAGCTATTGCTTTCGGAAAATGCATTAATTGATAATATTTAAAGAGACTAACCATAAACAAATACATAGTAATAGAATTATGTTTTCATTTTTCTGACCTACAAAGCAACACATGGGAAAACCTCCGCTGGTAAAACACACATTCATCACTATGAATGAGACCACGATGCTGTGGAGATGTAATCCAGTCGGTCAATTCAGTTTGATGGACTATAGGGCATTTCAAGAAAAAGAATGTCTAAAAATTATATCTGTAAAAGCAATAAAGAAACCCAATAAGAATTGCAACTGTATTCTTAGGTCAAGTTTGGTCTTTTCAAATATTATTTAAGGGGGACTTGATACAAATGAGAAATATATAATTTTCTTCAGACTTCACAGTTATATTTTATTTCTGTGTGTCACATTTCCAATAAAATACACTGAAAATGTGCAAAATATATAGAGCCTCTTTATGGAAGGAACTGTAGAGAAATACATGATGGAAGTTTATTCTCAAAATATTGGTAATTGCTAAAATATAAACAGCAAGAAAAATAATGCATTTTCTAAAACTCCCCTACAGTAGTAGGTCTCAGGTTTGTCTTATAGGCTATTTTTTATTAAAATAGCACTACCTAATGCAATCCAGGGCCTAATGCACTGTGCACCTTTTATTTCATTCCCCTTTATCTCATTAGACAAATATCTATAATTTTTATTGTGGAAGATGACCCCTGAATTTGTGTTAGCATGGGTTTCTTTACTGCCAAGGCCTAATAACTCAAAGTGTTAGGCCCTTAGGCAGTAGCCACCTTTAAGATTCTTTCTGTTAAAAGGAGTTATCGGTGTCCAAACTCTAATTGGATAGCTTTGGATTGAACAGTTTTGCTTTTTGTGCAAAACTTCAGATTTTAATTGGAGTATCATGAAATTAAGTGAACTGGTTTAAAATATTTTTGTTTTGTTTTTTGAGTAACCATAATCATAATAGGAAAAGTAAAAAAATAAAAGGTACAGTTCTAAAAATACCCCCAAAAAGCTCTAATTTATTTGCATTTTACTTAGAGAGTTGGAAATCTGTTAGGATATTTCTTTATAATGTGTTAAACAGAAGTACAATTTCAAAAGTAAAAGCAGTATTTGACACGAATCTTTTCCTTTCGCATGACCAGTCTTAGGTCTGATTCTCTGTCCTGTAATCGGCTGTGGCAACTGCCTAATAGAATCTTTCATTTGGATGCTTATTTCAAAATGTTTTCATTTGTTGAAAGGATTTCAAACTTCAATAACGCTGACGTCCATTGACTGGGGACACCAATCTATGACAGATAGTGCCCCATTGTGTCTTTATCTGTTGGGCTATGCTTTTACTACAGTTTACTGGCAGAGTGGTTAAAGTTTGAATACAGTTTTCTTCCGAAGTTTTGATGAATACATGCTTTTAGTCAGGGAACCTGCATCATAGTGCTGCCTCCATCATGTTTGACAACGAATAGTGTTTCTTAGACTATAAAAATTTACTTGAGTATGCTTTTAATCTTAAAAGAGGCTCCCAATAACTCCCTGAACCACACAAAGCAGCAATAATTCTCTTAATATTGTTCTCTGGCCATCATTGGAGAAAAGATTTAACCCCCTATTCTTAACAACATTGATGGAGTTTATGGTTTACATATATTTGCTTCTGCAGTGCTCTCTTTAGGTCACACCAGAGCACTCCAATAATGTGGAGGTTTAGACTTTGACTGGATCGTTACAATACCTAGATTTTTTGGCATTTCAGTCATTCCATCGTACATTCCATTCTTTGTTTGGCATCATGGACCCATTTATGATCCAGTTTGGTTGTACCACTGGTTTCTGAAAGATTTTACAGATTTGTACAAAAAAACATAAACTTTAACTTTCAACATACTAATTGAGGCCTGTACAGGCTAAGGCTTGTTTGTTTTTTAGTTTTCCTGACCAATTCATAGTCTTGCCTTTGTGGTAAATTTGTTGGAATTGTCCCAAATATTTCCCATTTAATTGCCATTTATTCTAAAATGCCTGTATTAAAACAAAATAGATGCTCCTCCTTTATTCCTGCTGCTAATATTAAATAAAAATGCCCTCAAGACCTCACTTAAACTCAGAACAACTGACAAAAGATACTTTTTACTAGAGATTATACTTTGAATTTGAAGTGATAAATGTATAAGAGGTATATTTGCTTTGTAACAAAAACATGCACATATCTTTGTGTAAACAGGACTGAATGAAGCGTGATTCTTTATAGTATTTTGCATTATCTGAAAAGGTTGTTATTTGCAACGTTTTCTGGTTATCTTTAATCGCTCGATCATTGTATGTAAAGGTAGGACATGAGAAGTAATCTGATGGGTGGGATCAAAGATAGAGGACTTTTTCCCTTTTTCAAAAAGTTCTCAGAAATATTTCAGATAATGATTGCACAACCTGGAATATTTTCTTTTATTGCCATTTTGAGTATCATGTATTATTTGAAAGTGGTGGTTTTTACACAAATTGGATGATTTCCGCCAGTTTGTAAAAATGCTGAGGTTGTATGATAGGATTTATGTGAAGCACAGAGAGAGAAAGCTGGTGTGTCCACACACAGACATTGATTTTCCTCTTCTCTTCAGATAAAAGATAAAACAGTGGTCCTTGTTGTGTTCCCATCTGATAACTCCAGACTGCATTGTCTTCTTCTATACTTGCAAAATTGTAAATCGGCCCCTGCACTTTGTACATCATTGACTTTTAGTGTTTAGATTATCAGTACATTTCAATGCAACTGCTTCCCAGAAAATCCCCCATTCTAAGGAGAGAGTAGGTCAGTAGTGTGAATACAGTGCTTCACAAATATATTTGTACATAAAGGTGCACTGATTGTATTGCACCAAAAACAAGAACTGTTGTTGTCTACATGCAAAACATCAGGATGAAAGCGATAACGCTGCACATGATATTGAACATAGACATGACAGAGGTTGTTAGTACAGGGAAGTTATTCATACTCAAGTCAGCACAAGATCAAGAGTATGGAGACAGGAAGGAGTAGGACTGTAAACATTTTAGTCAAGACAGTTGATTTTAAGATAGTCTTAAAGTAGTGGTTAATCCTCAAGCACCAGTGTTCTGTATTTTTCAGATATCAATCCCATAGGATACCGGTCCTTTAGGACTTGGGTCAAGGTTCAAATTTAAATCCCTGATGTAATGTGACAAAATGGCCAAATGTTCAAAGGGTATGCATATTTTCTATGCTGGTCCACAGCTCTGGCCAGGGCCTGGACATGTTTAAGCAGAACAAAAACTGGTTTACATGCACCCACTAACAGCAATATTCCTGCTTTGAGCTAACAGGTAAGCTTCTTAATGCTTCTTATTACTCATTGTATGAGATTTCCTTTGTTTTTACCCTTCTAATCACACTGCCTTACTCTGCATATGAAAGCCAGAGATTGGCTTCAGCTCACTGCTCTAGTTTGCACTAAGAAAAGTGTGGGATCTAAGCCTTTCTTGGCCTCTAGCTGATTAATGTTTAGTCGTTAACAAATCTACCTTTGCTTTGGCTTAATAATGGTTTAGGTCTATTGCTACATTATAACAAAATCATGGTTTCATTCTTTTTTCTAATATTGTGTTTGTTAAATTTAATAAAATTCAATAGACATGTATTATGTACTGAAAATAGAAGTGTGCAAAGTAAGACATTCAAAGTTGTGCATAAAGGTTTATGTGTCATTGTGCCTTGTCATGTGACATCAACAACCCAAGTTAGAAAAGCGGTATCGATGAGTTGGCCTTAACGACTCCCTAACGATCTTTTCTTGGCCCATCTTCAGCCTGAAGTGTATCATATTTGTTATTGACCTTGTGATGAATTTGAGGTATAGTGGCTAATGATGTGTACTGAATGGTGATGAGGGTTGGGGGGGGGGTGCTCTGGGGTCAGAGTACTGCTGTCAAGCATTATTTCTTAAAGAAAAACAAATGCAACCCCACCCCCTACAGTATTGTGTGGCTTTGGTGGGCCATTTCAGGATTCTCAGGTGATCAATATAAAAGGTGTTCTGATACGGCAGACAGACTCAGACACTGACAGTGTGGCAAACTGACCTCAGTCCCAACAGCTGCATCCAGAAACAACTTCATTTCAACTGCTGCTATGTGGAAGGACTCAAACAATGGTAAGAATGCTGATTTTCTACAGATTCGAAGAGCATACAGTAATTTAGCTCCTTTTCAATCTAAAATCAACTACCTCATTTAGATTTTAATGCAATTTAAGAATCTACATATTTCTGTTGAAAAAAACATTCTATTTGGATGAAACAGCTGAGAAAAACTGTTAGTAGAAATATACAGATTGCAAGAGATGAGTAATTTTAAGCTACAGCTCTTCTGCATTTATTAGCAAATGTATTATTTTATTCATAAAAAGCATATTAAAGTGGTTAAATTCCAATTTCATATGTAATCTGTTGTAACTATTTAATGCTCATAATCACTTTGTGCAAAATTTGAAATGAAAAAGGATGTTAAAGTGGTAGAATTTGCTTTGTGTCCAAGTTATGTGTTTGACACAACAACAGAAACACGATATTTTAGACTTGATTGATATTAAAAATATGAACATGAATAAGAGTTCAGTATGTTTCCATAATAAAACTCGGTTCTCTCTCCTTTACACAGATGATGGCAGGCCTGTGGCCCCCAGCAGCAGCTCCTCCCGCAGCGCCAGCCGCAGAAAGCGGACAAGCTTCTCCAAAGAACACGTGGAGCTTTTGCGTGCCACCTTTGAGACCGACCCGTACCCCGGCATCAGCCTCAGAGAAAGCCTTTCCCAGACCACTGGTTTACC